CACCCTCCACAAGCATTGATACCACTCTGCAGCTCACCCCTGTTAACTGCTCCTGAAGAAATCAATTAGGAACTAGATAATGACCCTAGGACTCTGAAACCAGCTGGAAACTTAATTACCCCATTCCCATTGGTTACTTTATTAACCCTTCTGATTCCCTGAATTAAGTGATTGGCGACGAGGTCAGCAAAGTACTGGAGGGAAATAGGAAAAAGTTGCTGAGGCCACTGGGTAAAATCCTGTACCAAATCTTAAAAGGCAAAATGAACCCTAAGTATAGTAGATTTAAAGAGGAAAGAGACGCATTAAGGACTCCATGGAGCCTGGGCTAGACAGGCAAAATAAATTACCCAGAGGTGGTCCCCAAATTCAGTTCTGGAAGAAACCACTGGCAACATGTTGCTGGTCTAAAACTTTATTTTTGTTCTCAACACTAGGTTGCCTCACTGTGGGTATGCCAGTATGAAGCTGATGAAAATCCTGAGCTGGCTTGGTGAGCTTGAAAATGTGAACAGAATAAAGGGAGTTGCTACTGTTATTCAGAGTGACGGTAAGAGTATCAGGCTAAAATATTCCAATATAGGGCAATAAAGACACACAGACACACGCACCACTCCTTCTTCACCAATGGTAGATCGGCCTGGACCGGTCCAAGTGTAGCTATTCTTAGAGCACAGGCCCTCCAGCCAGGCACCGCCCCTCAAGACTTCCTTCAATGTGCTTGAGAATTCAATTAGGTTATACTCAAAGTCCACCCTGGGAATCATTCAAAAAATGACTGCGTATCTCTACACTCCATTGTGTGTTGATTTTAAAGTTAACCCCTAGGGCAAACTTTATTTCCTTTAACCTGACATCTTAGAAGGGTGCTTCTCTATACTCCTCCAAACACTGTCCTCAACTTACTGTATCTTACTGTCAATTAAAAAGGTTTATCTAAGGCTGTGCTTCTCAAACGTTAAAGTCTATACAAATCACCCGGGCATCTTGTTAAAATGCAGATTCTGATTTATTAGATGTGAGCTAGGGCCCGAGATAACTGCAATGCTGCTGGTCCAAGGACCAAGGTTCTATGGAGAATCTGGACATAAAACTCAATCTGCTACAGTATTTAGGTTGTTTGTTAGAGAATATATAATTTAATAGATCGCTAATATTTAATTTGCCTATGACAACACTAATGTTGCTAAGTAAACACAGAGCAGTCCAACCCCCAGAAGAGGCAAATTTTAGGTCAGCTTAATTACATCTTTCTGAAATTCTCAGTAATACAAGCACAGAGGAGTAACCCTATAAAAGGCACAGAGTTCAAAATCTATCATGGGACTCATATCTTTTACTCAAACTACATACCATCAGTTGGCTGGCACTATGGAGCGGTTGTCCCCACTTGAGGGGTGTTCACCAACGTATCTAAACTGCATTTTGTTTTAGAGTCATTCATTAACTCAACTAGTATCTAATACCTACTAAGTGCCAAACCTATAAAGGAATGGCAACATGGAAAGCAGCATTCATATATTAGAGCAATGGCTCTCAAGAGTTTTTGAACCTTGATGGTACAAAAGACTCCATTCCATTTTAAGTGACACTTATCCAAGTACCTTGCGAGGAGGCATCCTATATACATTTGTTTTTAGCATCAGGAGCCTGGATGGTTCATATTTAAACTGCAAAGTTTCATCTAAAGTCAAATAACAGGCCAAATATTATGTCAATGCTAATCATAGGGGAACTTCCACAAACTCCCACCGCCTCAATTCTACTACCAGCATCTATGAATGAAAGCACTGATGTATATTTCTGGGTCAGTTTAATACTCATCATTTGATTCTCGGACTCTACTTAGAGAATCACTAATTTGATGTAGACTTATTTGATGTATTGCTTATACTTGACCACAAATGGGACATTTTAATCCACTTACCTAGGAGCACTTCAGAACTATCCTCAACCATTTCATTAAAAAAAATATATATAGACAAATTCTGTGACATAAAGCAATTTAATCCAATCAGTTCAATGGAGATGTGGCTCTTAGTACCTTACAGTATTTCCCAGTAAGTACTTAGCTCTGTTAGTTCTGTTCTCAACCTCTTAGCCCTTTTTACGATAACTCCCCTGCCTCCAGTTCTGATCTCTTTCTCTATATCCACTCTTCCAGTGCCTCTGGATTACTTCCACTTGGATATCTCCCTTTGGGACTACTGTACTTTCAATAGGCCCAAGTTTGAGTTTGCTGACTTCCTCCTGAGCTAAACTCTACTCCCTCTATCTCTGGTCACCTGTTGGGAGTTGTCTTAGACTTCTTTCCCTCCCAGTATCTACCATATCCAACTGGACAACAAAAGTCTTTGAATATTTCTTTTAAATGTAAATCAGATTCCCTTTAAGTTAATTTAAACAGCTTAATTTATCTACTTCCTCTTTCCCCAGCTCAGATGATAACAGAAGACAAAGATAAAGAAGCTGCCCCCCCACCCCCACAAATGTATTTTTACTACTGATACAGTGATATAAATAAGGTCATTTTGAAGTGACAAAACTTTAAAATGGAACTTCTTAAAGTCCATCTTTTGTAGCCCAGTGGTTTTTCCCCCCCAGAAGTACAGAGATAAGAAATAATATTCCTTGGGTTTTTGCTTAGTGGAATGACTGGAGGAAATACAAACTATGTTTTGAGCCTTTATTATGGGCTACTTGTACATTTTAAATACTCATAAAATTCCATGATTCACCCTATTTTACAAATGAAACATATTCAAAGAGATTAAACAATGTGTTAGTCATCACCCACTTTTCTACTGCATCACAATACAATTTATAACGTGCTATACATATATTCAATCAAGGTATTGTTTCCATCATTATACTTGCTTCACTTGAAATTGGTTTTATAAATGTAAATTAGCATAAATGGCCTAGCTCAACAAGTTTGGAAGTTAGCTTTAATATGGGATAATACAGTGAGATTTCATTTGCATTTCTTCATTTTCCAATTTAAGTTCAATGGAACAGAGTAACTGGCTTAGGAAGTACAAATGGTATTAACAGCACTCACCATCTCCAGTGCAGAAGGGACTCTAATTAACATTTATAAAGTGGAAGGGGCCCGAGTAAATTTGCCAAAAGGAGGAATATGGAAATTCTGCCCACAGCCAGAACAATGGACATAGATTTGTCAAAACAAAGAACAGTAAAGTGAGGAAAGGCCATTCGTCCAGCCCTTGTTATACTTTATGACTATTTTTCCAGTTGCTGGTTTCCTATTCACTCTAACAAAGAAAAAGATTAAGCAAGACTTAACATTTTGCAAATTTATATTATCCTTAACAGAAGCAAAAGCACTGCAACCACTAAGTTACAGCATTCAAAATCTAAACCAGGGAAAACAATCTCCAATCTGATAAAAATCTCCAGTATCCAAGAGCAAAGCTGCTCATTGCAGTTCTACAAAAGAAATCTTCAAGACTTGATAACCACTGTGAACCTTTGGCATAACTGTAAATTTTAATGCTAAGCTTAAATGAGGCGGTTACTGCCCTGAACAAATCAATGTATTTTATACTGTTACACAACATCATCTTGGTTTCTATACTGGCTTTGGGATAGTAAGTCAATGAGCTACATCTGGACAGCTGGGAAACAACATCAGTAATCAGACAGAAGGTGCATTAGCTTGAATTTAAAGTACAAAGCTGAAACAACAGGCCCTGAATACAGCCACGGAGTAATGCCCAGGACACTCCTTATTTCAACATCGTGTGGGTTAAAGATTTTTGTCCCCATGGCTCACTGATGGGCTTTTCGGTGGTGAAAACCACTTCTCATGTGGTAGGCTACAGGTGTCAAGGACCACCCAAATTCTTTTGAAAATATTTTGTGCACTTACATTTACAATATGGTACTTTTTGTTTTGTTTTGTTTTAAGGGAAAGCCAAAAGCACTTACCAGCCTCTGCGGTATTGCCTTGGGGCTTCACCAAACTCTAGTTAGTGGGCGACCCAAAGAAGACATTAAGTGGGCTTCCGCCCTCACTCTGTGCAATCCCCACGCCCACACCCAGTCGCACCCCCATGCACCCACGAAAAGAAAGCTTCTAAGAAAACAAACACAAATTCACAACTCCCGCTATTAGTCGCTCCATCACATATTAACGACGTGCCAATTTTATACAGAGATTTTTGTTTTTAAACTCGTCTTAGAAACCACCACGGCTGTGCGCCCACAGCGAGCTTTAACGACATCGCGTGTTATTTTGAAGGTATTTTGATCTGCAGACTTGCTCTCGCTGGGCCGTGGCAGGGCGTGAGGCAGGTCGTCCCCGTCTCCTGGGTTTTAAACCGCTACGTCCCCCGGCTTGGTGCTAACACTCAAGCCCAGACCCCACCCGGCCAGGCTGCGGAACTCGAACGACCACAGTCAGTCCCGGGGACGTTCCAGTTTCACTGGAGGATCTCGGAGGGGGGTGTGTGTCAGTTTGAGGACAGGGAGGCGGGGCTGGGGGGGAGAACAATGTACACAGGTCCGGGTTTGCTCCCGAGCGGAGCCTCGGCGGGCGCCCGGGGACACGTGCGCACGGCCAGAAAAACAAAACCGACCCCAGGGCTGGGGGAGGGACGCGCCGCCGGACGACCGGGGCGCAGCCGGCAACTGTGCTCCGCGGGCGCCCGCTGCCTGTGCCAAGGCGAGGCTGGCTCTGCCAACATCGCCCTCCCCAACCGGCTGGCGAACGCGGGCAGTCTGCGGGTTCCGCACGGGGATCCCCATCCCTAGGGCTCCGCACCTGGGCTGCGGGAGGAAGCAGTTCTAGGTGGACTGTAGGGCCCGCTTGTTTCCTCCTAAAATCCTGTGCCACCTTACGACTGGGCATTTTTGTCCTGTGGCCCGCACTCGACGGGTCCCTAGTACGCCCCGCTGCCTTCTGAACGCCCCCTCCCTCCCCAAGCCCTCCGCTCCCTCGGGGGCGGGCGAGCAAACGGAGCTCCCCTGGCACTCACACGTGGCCACAGCGGGTCCTCACAGGCTGGTGCAACACCTCGAGGCACACGGAGCAGTCGAAGGACGTGACGGGCACCTCGGGGTCCCGTCTGCGCTCCAGGGCCCGCGGGGCGGCCGAGGCGGGCGAGGATTTGCCGCTATCGCTGCTCAGCACGGAGCCCATGGCTGCGCCTCTCACGCAGACAGCTGCCAAGAGCTCAGTGCCTCCCGCGGGTTGTTTTGTCGTCCTGCGGTGGAGGAAGGAAGTCCCGGCCCAGCTGCGATCGCCGCCTCCCAGCGCGCCCAGCGCACGCAGCCCGCGGCGCCCAACCCCGGGC